ATCATGAAAGGTATTTCTGTTCATCCCAGCCCTAGGCCACGTGTTACGCTGTATCCCATACCACAGCAGTTCCCAAACTTACTTCTGAGGAGGAAGGCCCTGGGAAGAGGGGAGGGTAAAGTGCTTTGAAACACCACACGCAAACATTTCCTGTCTGCTGAGGCTTTGTGAAGTTTTGAGACTGGGTATTGATGATTTGCCAGAAGAAAGTAGAAAGAATAAGGACTTAAGCTAAATGAGTCTTGTTGGACAAGTTAGTGACGTGAGTTGGTATGATAGGAGAGCCTGATGTGTGTCTGGAATTTCAGTACACATACATACTGGTGTCTTGTTTCCCAGGATTCTCAGTGGGAATGAACGTGCACACAGCAGGTCTGTCCGGTGCTTCCTGAGCCAATTACATACATGTGTTGTCACTGTTTAGCTTGAGCAGTGGCTCTGACATGACCCTATGTACAGTCAACGTGCCAGAAAATTTTAAGTATTCAGCAATCTAGCTGTCTCAGAGATCCAATGTCCAGAAATCTTGCATGAATATATCAAGTCCTCAAATCCCTCTGGGCAGATTCCTGTAGAAAAGAGGAAATATCTAGGGAAAAACTATATGTACAGTAGTCCTGGGACAGGATCTGTTAGATTTTGGTGCATACTAGTGGCTGTATTCTCAGCTGGGTGCATATACTTGCACGTGGGAGGGAAGCTGCTAACAGCACATGAAAACATATGTGCAAATTTAGAAAGCAGAGCAAGGTTGAGAGGAAGTAGGTTTTTGGTTTTTTTAAGTAGTATCAACTGACGTGAAAGGACAGGCAGTTTTCAAGAGGGGAAGGACTTGGACAGAAGTGGTGTTTTCTTCTGGTCATGAGGAAACACCAGCTCCAAACTATCTTTCATTTCGGACTTCACAGGCTCAGGGTCCACCTGGTTTTGGAGCTTTGTCAGTTCTAAAAAGGAATCCAGATTCCCATGAGTGAAATTTCCCTAGTCCTTCTACTTTATTTAGATCTTTCCAGAGTCATGCTGTTAGGCAGACTCTCCCAGCTGTAATGAAGACTCACTTCTAGTGTCTGTCCAAGAAGCCTTTCTCCTGATTTACTGCTTCTCTGATTTTCTTAGGGCCTCGAGGGATTTTTCCTGACCATTTCAAATGTGATTTGTGCTTTAACTTCAAAGCTGAGTGTCAGAACAAGCAGAGTACACTTTTGAGACAAGACCTTTTCTGACATACAACAAGTTCCAGGACATCTAATATAGTTGAAGGAATGAGATGGCTCATTCAAAATTAAGTTATCCATTAATATAGGGAGTTCATACTCCAGTAAGAGATCCTTGTTGCTCTAGATTATGCAGATATACTATACTTTTCATTGCAAGGGGAAGTAACACCCCTACTGCAGTGATAGGCTGTGTTATTATATACTTATTTGAAACTGTTGACCACCATTTTTACAATCTACTTTCAGTTTCTCATAGGAACAGTGCACATAGATGTAACACTAATTCCTCCTGTTCTGACAATTTACCAACTTGTATTTGCTTTCGTATACTTGGATCAGCCTGGAAAACTGGGTGTCCTCCACTCTTCTGGAATTAATCTGACCACATTACCACTTTGTTGGTAATTTTGATAGGTAACCAAATGTTTTTCTTCCTGGTACTAGAAAATAGCGAGTTCACATGGTTTGTTACACTATCCTTGGCCCTGCAAAGGTCCTGGATATGTATACTCAGTCCCATCTAAAGACCACCCTGGAGGAGTCCTTATAAAAAAAAGCTCAAGACAATCTGAGAAGATGTAGAGCTGGCTGTCGTGCCTAGCTGGAACAGCAGTCTGACCAAATGTATCATATAAATGTATGACTAATTCCAGCATACCCAAACTGGAGAATGATGTAGTAGATTTTTGTTTTAAAAACAAACAAAAACCCTAAAACAGACAGAAAAACTACAACGCTCAAACAACAAGCAAACAAAAACCCACTCTCAAATAGGTATGGATTCTAACTTGAAAGATTTCTTAGAGAGGACAAGAACTCTATAACCCAGGAGATGTGGCCATTTTTCAGAAACTTCATGCAGCAAACTGTACTTATTTTCTGGCAGAGAGTCTCTGTGCAGCAATTTATCTCATACAGTATTCGAGAACCCTTGCAGAAGGTCAGTTGAACAGGTGGGAGGAGCTCCCTGCCATCCTTGTAAACTAGAAGCCTCGCACTGACAGCTGAACATATGATCCCCTTCCCTTCACCACATTCGACATAATGTCCACACTGTAGACTTTGAATTTTCCCAGTTTCCATACAACAGCAAATACCACAGACATGTCACACTTGCCAAGACTCTAGCCTTCCCTCTGAGTTGCTCCATGCCAACTATTTTTCGTTCCCTGTTTCTGCTGCCTTACTTCCCTTTGAGCAGTTTGTGACAGGCATCTAAAGTTTCTTCCAAGAATGCATGCCTTATAAAGCAGAAGGGAAAAACTAAGTTAGGAATAGCTTTTTTTTGTGACTTCATTAGTGGAGACAATTTATAGTGATCTTATTTCATTCGAAAATTATCCAAAATAAAACTAGAGAGATCATTCAAAGAATGTAGACATCTGAAGTATTGCAGTGTTGTCCCCAACAAAGAGTTCTTCACCCGGTGTGCAAAGAGCCGCTAACACACAGAGCACAGACATTTGTTTAATTCATGTCTTAATTCAGAGATGGGTGCTAGGTGGTCCCTCCACAAAGCTATAGCACACCTTAGTCGTCACAGGGCAAGTATTTATACATTTCAAGCAACCGTTATCAGCACTTTTGCTTCTACTTTAACAATTACGGTTAGTTACCCTTGTTTTTACTGGTCCTTGCTATGTCCCATCTCTGCTTAAAGCTACAGCATCCTATCTTTTTACTCAGCATGCTCAGTGAGGGGTGGGTTTAGGTGAGGAGGGGGCTTTTTCTCCTCTAGAGGTGTAGGTTTGCTATGCTAATTAGGATAGTTCGCTCACAGTTCAAATATCTCTTTGACTTTGTCAGCAGTAGAATTCCTCTTGTTCTTATCTTGGTATTTCTTTTGTTTGGCTGATGGTGTCATCTTGTTTCTTCTCTCAGGGATGTGCGCCTCACTGACTATTTACAGAGGCTAGGTAGCATCCTTTGATTAATTTCTTGCATATTTCCAACAACAGTACACTTGATTTTAGCACAGGTACTGAAGAGGGTACTGAGGGCTTCCGAAAGGCAACACATCATACTTGCCTATCTTGAGGAAACTTTAGCTGAAAGTTTAGTTCTGTGGAGAATTTCAAGGGCAAAACACTTTTCTCCAAGCTAGCAATCCTTCCTGTTCTGCATGCTGCGTGAGTGTAACCTGTGAATGAAATTCAGTCTTCTGCAAATCCCGACAAAAGGTGTTTCACAGACCTAAATGGGATCTCAGGGGTGGCCTTGGTCTTTCACATAAGGGTGAAAAAGCACCATCAGATCACTAAAGAGCCAAGAAGTGAGCAAAAGAGCACCTACAATTCTCAGACCTTTGTTAAAAAAAAAAAAAAAAATTTAAAAAAGCCTGTGATCAGAGAAAGACAGAAGGATATTTCACCCTTACAAAAGGCCATGTTTCTAAAAAGGCAGCTTTCTGCTTCAGATAGTTAAGTGACTGAAATTTTGTTTTCATCACAAGAACTTTTTTTGTGCAGAGTAAATTGGATTTTTATTTTTGTTTCCTTTTCTCAGAAGGCATTTGAGAAAAATTTTGTTTTCAGATACAGTATCTTTTAAAGAAGGAAAAAAATATATTTATACCTTCTTGGAAATGAAGCCTGGATAACTTAAACCAGTTAAAGTAGTTATTTACCCTGTTAAATTCAACTGTATCAGACAGACCATGTGTGGTGACTGAGTACTTAACATCTCCCACAAGCATTTTCTATTTAGTCCACTGTGAAGAGAAGTAGCAATTCTGTTTCTGTGATACCTTAAAGCATTAGTGCAACACTGGAGCAGGTTGCCCAGAGAGGTGGTAGATGCCCCATCTCTGGAAACATTCAGGGTCAGGTTGGACAGGGCTCTGAGCAACCTGATCTAGTTGAAGATGTCCCTGGCTCGTTGCAAAGGAGGTTGGACTAGATGACCTTTAAAGGTCCCTTCCAGCCCAAACTATTCTATGATTAGAAAACATATTAGGAGAAGTATTTCTGCATTGAACTATAAGGCATGGCCAAGAAAAAATAAGCCCTACTATATCAAATTTTTTGAACTCTTTAGTTGAATCTGTTTTTCAATAGGATGAATGTCAGGTTCTACCAATACAATTTCTTCCTTCTGTTTCAAGAGCTTCATGCCTTAGTTAAGTGCTTTCATAAATCAGTTGTTTCTAGTATTTTGCAGTTAAGATTTAACATAAGACTTGCCTGGAGTGTTTGTTGTTCATCAGAATTTAATGTTTTGTATGTCATTTTGGTGCATCAATGCCCGATTGCCAAGCTGACATCTCAGTGGCCCTGTTACTGAGGTACAGTAACCCATGGTGCTGGCTGCAACAGCAAATTACCAGCATATAATGACAGTCAGTAAACAACCGAGTAGCAAATAATTGGGAACAAGTAAGATCACTATCTGAAATCCTGCAGCAGAGGGAAGATGCTTAGCAGAGGGACTGTGCACAGCTGGGCAGGAGGAGAAAAGGCAGCCAGCGAGGGGCCAGACTTGTCACTGAGATGCACTGGCTCGTCTCAGCAGAGAAAGTTACCACTACTGTTTGTGAAGCCTTCTCTTCTGAAAGAAGTGCTCTTTTTTGCTTTTGCTGTTATGCTTCTAAAGCAACACAAGCTTTTTTGGCACAACCAAAAAGCTGTCCACATGCTTCCATCCATGTGGAAGAGACTACTCCGGAGCTGCACACCAGGAACGCACAGCCACCATACTGCCTGCAGCACCATCCCACTGCCTCCGCACCACGGGCAAAGCCTGGAGGGCAGCAGCAGTGGAGCACGCTGCAGGCAGCTGGGCACATGCCTGCTGTGGCTCCGCCGGAA